ACCAAATCGCATGAAAATGCAGATAAATACATAAATAAAATAAAAAATATATTTATAAATGTCCATAATTCATATAGAAGTCCAAACACCAAAATAAGTGATTTAAAAAATCTCTTAAACAAGAAAAAAACACCGTTTGGCAAAATCCACCACCAAATGAAATGGGTAAACTCACCAGAGCTATTTGCTGATCAAATTATAAATCAGCAAAAATAGCAATTGCTCTGGGAGCGATGATCTGTTGGAGTATCCAGGAAAAATAGACTGCAATCAGCCAAATCAGCACACAAGGAACAGCCTTAACTGCAAGTGGTCATCATGCCTTCATAACTTTGGAAATGCTTGGGGAATCAAAGAAGAGTATCATGGTGCAGTATATTAAAACAAGGATAATTTTTATTGTAGCCTTAAATATGCACTCACAAGAAAGGTGTCCAACCGACACCAGCAATATCAGCAATATCAGTCTCAAAAAGCTAAAGCAGGGACGAGCCTCGCTCACCGCGATTACAGCCGACAGTCTCGAGGAGCGTCCTGACGTCCCATCCACTAAGCCCCGCCCTACGCGTTTCATCATCCGACGTCTTCAAGGGGCGGCATGAGTGCATATTTAAGGATACAATAAAAATTATCCTTGTTTTAATATACTGCACCATGATACTCTTCTTTGATTCCCCGAGCATTCCCAAAGTTATGAAGGCATGATGTCCACTTGCAGTTAAGGCTGTTCCATGTGTGCTGATTTGGCTGATTGCAGTCTGTTGCTCCTGGATACTCCAACAGATCATCGCTCCCAGAGCAATTGCTATTTTTGCTGATTTATAATTTGATAAGCAAATAGCTTTGGTGAGTTTACCCATTTCATTTGGTGGTGGATTTTGCTACACAGTGTTTTTTCTTGTTTAACAGATTTTTTAATTACTTATTTTGGTATTTGGACTTATATATGAATTACGGACATTTATAAATATATTTTTTATTTTATGTATTTATCTGCATTTTCATGTGATTTGGTATTTAGCGCATTTCTTTATATATTTTTTTAATCAGGTAGATTAACCTTGGGCACTGGTTCCGGTGTTACTGAATTTACACACACAGTTCCTGGACTTAACATGTCAGTTTGCAAATCTCCTCACCAAATAAACAAGCCTGTGTAGACTCCATCTTCACAGAAAATTTTTCTTGATAAAAGCTTATGAGGTCACGCTTACCCCTACCGCAGGTGGTCAGGCACTATAGCTGGCTTTTGTGCTCCTCACCCATAACAGCCCCCTTCCCATAAGGCAAGCAGGCCTACTGGTACTCAGGTGCCCCAGGTCATATACACAATGCTATAGTGCCTGGTCACCACGCTGGGGCAGGCACGAACTGTGCACAGGAAACAGGTACTTGCAGTTGGTAGACAGGCTTAATAATTCAATGACAGTTGAAATACAAGGCAGCCAAGGTTCAGAGTAGTCAGGGTCAAATCCGTAGCCAATGGCAGGCGGAGTTCAGAGTATAGTCGATATCTGATCTGAGGTCATAAACAGGGGAATCCAAAACAGCAGAGCAGGACAGACAGGGAGTTTGAGCATGTATTACACACGCTATCACAAGCATGAGACTGCAGACTTGGCTGGCTTAAATCAGGTTTGGTCTCCACCCAGAGACTGGCCACATCAATCATCTTACAGGTGGACAGACAGGGAGAATATATCATGGCCAAAACCAGGATGCTGGAATGAGACCAGCGGCTGTGTTGGAGCAGGAGCACAAGACACTCCTGACAAGGACAGTTCAGTGGTTCCACTGAGAAAGAATACAAAATGTTCAGATTTATGTTTTCAAGATACTATTACATTATCATCTAATAAGTACAAAAATCAAGTTTTTTCAAATTTCATTTTTGGCTTTGAAAACCATTTATCACACATTTTACTCAAGTATTATGTAATTTTAAAGAGCAAAAAACCCCACACTAATTATGTCCCCTGAAATTTTGTGAATATAATTATAAACTCGTGTATCACATTGTATTGTTATTGTACTGTCGCATGTTCTGTCTCCCTTTGTAATGTACAGTGCTGAGCAAACTGTTGGTGCTTTATAAGTACTGTATAATAATAATAATAATAATAATAAACTGTTTATTTAGAGTCAAGAATCTGACAACTCTATTAAAATTGTCAGCATTAAATCTAGGCAAGGACAAATACATAACCAATCCATAAAAATATGAAATGTACTGAGCAGAAATGTACTTTTATTTGTATTTAAAAGGTCTATTAAAAGTAAAATTTATGTAACAATAAAATGATCAAACAGAACAAGAACTATATTACAACAAAGTGAACTACAAACATTTCTGACTGTGTAGACACACTGTAAGCAGGTGATTTGTACTGTATGAAGCCTAGACAAAATTGACAGTATCCCTGTAACAGGAAGAATGAAAACAGTCACATTGCAACAGACTGAAGAATAATGTAAACACACACACAGTTATGTACAGATATGAATAAGTTATGTCAAAGGTTAATAGTCTAACCTTGTAAATTACTACAAGCACCCTACACAAGATGATTAGTAATAAATATCAGTCTGGTGGATGGGTACTCCAAATCTCTAAAGCTACAGCTGCTGCTGATAGCCAACGCTTCTCTCTGCTGTACAATGGGATTCTAAACTCGGGATTCTAAACTCACTACAGGACACAGCAGTAACGTAGAACCTGTTAAGTAGATTTGTCAAGCACCATACCTCTGCAAGAAAGCGAAAATTTGAGCAACCACCCACCAGGCTGGTAAGTATTACTGATCTTCAGGGTGCTTATAGTTGTTTTTGTCTACATACAGTTTAATTAAAAAAACTGGAGTAAAACGGACTAATAGCATGGTAAGAAAAATGCAAAAAAATGTTCTCTTTAAAGAACAGATTTCGGTTAACTAACTATACAACAAAGTTGTTGTTTTCAAGAACTGCTATGTTTTACTGCCAAAAGTATATAATTATTTAGCTGACACCCGTTTTCCTTGTGAAGTTGCCACAAATCCTCTCCAATTTACTGCTATACCACTGACACATAGCTTGGTATGCCAACTGCAAAATCTTAAAGCTCAATGGCACATTTAGTTTAAATCTGCTAAATAAATTCCAGGTACATCAAAATAAATTTTGTTCAGTGTCTTAGGCTACCTATAGATGGGTCGTGTTTATTTTCAGCCAACGTACTGATCAGATGGAGAGGTAGATGCAGGAAACCTCTCTGCTGTGCTTTTGTATTGTGGCAGAGGGGATTCCTCCGCTTTCAGAATACACTGGTCAGTGCTGCAGCCGCTGATCGAAAATTTCCAAAAATTCCCATTGGATGATTCCTATTGATCGATTTCTATCACGTGAGACCTGCCATGGATTCATTGAAATTTGTCTGGTCCCTGCTAAACCAGCCAAATTTTGATCCATCTATGGCTAACTTTACTTTACAGTTGGCTTTATTGCTAAACAAGCTGCAACCAAATAGAACAGCTTGTCTCCTGCCAGCAGATGCATATCATGATGTTTTCTCTCCGTGTAAAAGCACTGTTCTCTCTGAATATTCCCAACATGCCCCCCTACTGAGTCAAACTTATTGCTACGCAGTCAGCAAAGGTCCTACTCTCTACCAAATGAAAAGTTCCTGTTCTGACTTAAAGTGATTCTACAGGTTCATTTTTTTTGTAAAATAACAAACATGTCTATACCTTCCTGCTGTGTGCAGTGGTTTTGCACAGAGAAGCCTGGATCCTCCTCTTCTCGGGTCCCCCGCAGGCTTTCCTGGCTCCTCCTTTCTGTTGAGGACTCCACAGCAAGCAGCTTGCTATGGGGGCACCCACTGCTCTGTGTGTCCATTCACACATGGAGCAGTGGCTTGAGGAGGCAGGGACCAGTGACAGCACAGGCTGTTGTGCATATCGCTCGATCTCGGGTAAGTATTGATGGGGCTGGGGGCACTGCTGCACACAGAAGGTTTTCTTTAACTTCAAGCATAGAATGCATGAAGGTAAAAGACATTGAGCCCTTACAACCGCTTTAATAGCATTCATGTCAGACCTCTACAATAAGATTGTTGCTTCCACACAGAAAACAGGGGTCCTTCTCTGCTGCTGGCAGGTGAAAGGCCTTTCTAGTCAGGCTGGGGCTGCTTTAGAAAGAAAACAAATTCTAAGACTTTGAACACCTTTTGTTTTTTAGCACCTGCAATGCATTTAGCTTATTTAGCATGAAGGTTCCTTTGAAATATTAACAAATGCACAATGGACATAATTGCCAAGGGTAAACGTAAACCTTTCTGAAGCAGATTAGCTAACAGTGACCTGGTAAGAGAACAGCCACAGAAAGCCTACTATATGCTATATCATTGAAAACCTATTCCTTTCACACTGAAGAATATATTTGAGCAGTGCCGTTGTACACCATGGCAATGCTTCTGGCATGAAGTATATTTAAATTATAACTGCAGATCTGATTCAGGCTAAAACGCAGGCATCAACAAACAGAAAAGGGAAAGGCAAACTGCAGACACTTAAATGCACTATAGTTCCTAGTCATTCATCCAGTAGCATGCTATCATTTTTCCCTGCTGCAAAATAGCCAGAGAAAATAAAATAGCATAGGCTTCATTTAACTTATTTATTTTCAGTACTTTGTGCCGTATGCTGTGTTTGGTTAAAGTTTACTTTAAAAAGTTTTCTGAAAAAGCTACTTTGTACAAATACTGTATATGAAATAATCCTTTTTTTCTGGTAAAAAAAAAAACAAAAAAAAAAGTGAAATGATTACGTGAAATGATGAACTGTAAATACAGTCTTTAAGTAAAAAAACATTCAACATCTTTGTAGTAAATACTCCAAGAGTTTGTTTCCATGTCTTAACGGTCTTTCTTGGTAGTAACTTGTCTTACACAAGACCCGATTAACGAAAAACTGAAAATATTGTCCATAAATCCACTACTAACTTTAGATATTGCAAGAAAAATGTCACTGGACATGTGGTCTTGGTTTAAGAATCAATTTCCCCGTCTGCAAAGATAAAACAAAAATAAAATATGAATTCAAGTATCAAATGAGTTAAAGAAGTAAAACACTAGATTAACAGTGTACCTTAGTAAATTTTAACGTAATTAAAAAGGAATATTTCCACTTTGGTTTCCATAAATTTCTGTAGTGCTTTCACCTCTTCCACATTATTATAGTAACAAAGATTGGTTCCCCTATAACCCACTTGTAAGCAACATATAGCGGAGAACAGCTGAAGGATCTGAGCCCTTCTAGCCTTCATTTTCAAAGCATAACTGAACAAGTGAAAGATAGAAGCTGATTGGCTTCCATGCACAGTACATCAGATTCAGGCTGCTCCAGTTTTGATAAATTTCCCCCTTTGTATTTCTGACTGTTAAACATGCCTTTTAGATGTTTGTGTTTTATACGCACAACAATTTCTTCTAGAGACAAAAAATATACCACTAACTAAAATCATATGCAGAGTATGTAATACTCACATCGTCACATGACATGTTATACTCTGCTAGCACAGTTCGACATCTTGCTGCTATTCTGAGCCAATGGGTTAAGAATAAAATTGAAATAAAAACAAAACAAAACATCAATATGGCATCCTGGGAACTCTCACAGATTACACTGTGTCTTACATAAATCTTAAAATGGAGAAATTTAGAAGGCTGTTGAGATTTATTTTGTCTATATATCATTAAATAATGGCCATATACAATGGTCAGTGGACACAACCCCAGCTTTTCTCATGGAAAAGAAAAAAAAATCCATTTACATGGCTTTCCACAGCAGCAAATTTCTGGGTAAAAGAACAACATAATGAAATCAGAACATTTCATGTGGCCCTTGATTCTGAGACAATGAGGCGATTAGGAGTATAGAGAGGAGGTTTAATACTGCGACTTTAAATGTACAAACTTGCTGTCTTTAACCACTTGCCCTCCAGAGGATTCACCCCCTCCCACCCCTTCCTGACCAGGCAATTTATTGTGATACAGCGCTGCGTTACTTTAACCGACAATTGTGCAGTCATGCAACACTGCACCTAAATTCATCTTGCATCCTTTTTTCCCCACAAATAGAGCTTTCTTTCAGTGGTATTTGATTGCTTGTGTGTTTATTTTTTGCGCTATAAACAAAAAAAGACCATGTGTACGGGGCTTAATAAGCATCTAGCATAGGTCGGTAATAGATTGCTTGAAAGAAAAACGTGCAGTGTCTCAACCCTACACAGATCAATATTTTAATGACCTATTAGGAGAGGAGAGGCCATCCTTACATATAATGAGAAGGATGCAACCTGGTTGCCATGCTAAACCAAAATGGGAGCCATTCTGCAACAGGCAAACAAATAGCAGCATACCAATTTATCAGAAACTTTACAACTGAAGTATGAACCACAAAATAATTTGATGAATGTGTGAATTTCTATAAGCTGGATACTGAATACACAATATGGCTGCTACTGTATTTGCTGCTTCATCCTGCAGCTGATTGTCTTGGGGGTTCAAGGTGTGGCCACCTGTACTCGACACGGCTGCTTATTTTATTCCATGTAGTAGAAATTATCCTAAAAATGCTTTGCACAACACTGGGAGCACTTTGAACATTGACGCACATTCTTACTTATGGTTTTTAAAAAAGAAAAATATAAATCAAGTCAAATCATTAGTTACCCATATTTTGCTGCGGTTTCACAAAATGATTACTATACACATGCCTTTGTTACTGTAATTTAAAGTATCTAACCTTACTCCCCCCCAAAAAAAAAAAAATATATATATTGCAACTTGCCAGTTCTTAAATGAGCTGGCATATTTTTCAGGCATCTTTCCCTTATTTTAACTTATAAACACACCTCCTGTCCTTGGGTAGCTACAGTGGAGATACACACCCCTGTTAAAATGTCACGTTTCTGTGATGTAAAGAAATGAGACAAAGATAAATAATTTCGGAACTTTTTCCACCTTTAATGTGACCTATAAACTGTACAACTCAGTTGAACAACAAATTGAAATCTTTTAGGTGGAGGGAAGTAAAAATAAAAAACTAAAATAATAATATGGTTGCATAAGTGTGCACACTCTTAAACTAATACTTTGTTGAAGCACCTTTTGATTTTATTACAGCACTCAGTCTTTTTGGGTATGAGTCTATCAGCATGTTGATTGGCAAAATTTGCCCGCTCTATCTTGAAAAAACACTCCAAATCTGTCAGATTGTGAGGGCATCTCCTTTCTTCAGATCACTCCACAGATTTCACCACCATGCTTCACTGTGGGTATGGTGTTCTTTTGGTGATGTGCAGTGTTGTTTTTGCGCCAAACATATCTTTAGAAATTATGGCCAAAACGTTCAACCTTGGTTTCATCAGACCATAATACATTTTCCCGCATGCTTTTGGGAGACTTCAGATGTGTTCTTGCAAAATTTATCCGAGCTTGGATGTGTTTCTTTGTAAGAAAAGGCTTCTGTCTTACCACTCTACCCCATAGCTCAGACATATGAACAATACGGGAGATTGTTGTCTCATGTACCACACAGCCAGTACATGGCAAATATTCCTGCAGCTTCTTTAATGTTGCTGTAGGCCTCTGGACAGCCTCCCAAACCAGTTTTCTTCTCATCTTTTCATCAATTTTGGAGGGACTTCCAGTTCTGTTGTGCCATATTTTCTCCACTTGATGTAGACTGTCTTCACTGTGTTTCATGGTATATCTAATGCCTTGGAAATTCTTTTGTACTTTGTACCTTTTAACAATGAGATCCCTCTAATGCTTTGGAAGCTCTCTTTGGACCATGGATTTTGCTGTAGGATGCAACTAAGAAAATGTCAGGAAAGACCTACTAGAACAGCTGAACTTTACTTGGGGTTAATCAGAGGCACTTTAAATGATGGCAGGTGTGTACTGACTCCTATTTAACATGATTTTGAATGTGATTGCTTAATTCTGAACACATGCATCCCCAGTTATAAGAGGGTGTGCACACTTATGCAACCGCATTATTTTAGTTTTTAATGTTTACTTCCCTCCTAAAAGGTTACAGTTTGTTTTTCAATTGAGTTGTACAGTTCAGTATATACATTTTTGTTCTTAAGTTTACTTATCCTTTAATAATGCTAGTGAATGTCCTTTACTTTTTCATAATTTGCAATAGCAGTTTGCAAAGCAAAGTATTTTTGTGGCAGCAACAAACAGAATACTAAAAGGATACATCGACGGTGCCACAACTCTCTTGTGGATCCCAGCAAAAAAGAGTCCTATTAAGGTTATGCAGCTAATTGTAAAGAAGGGGTGGTTCCACAGTGATGTGAAGAATGATACCTGTTAAACAAAGGAAACAGCAGTGTGAATATATCATAACGTAATGGATAATGCTTTTGACATATCAGTACTCTAAAATTTGACCACATTCCAGCCAATAACATTTCTCAATCTATTCTAATTATTAAGGGTGGGTGTATACTGGTTTGCCCAGGTGTGCATTTCTACACACTGCAAATAAGATAAACCAATACACCACTGTCAGCAATTTGTGCCAGGTAGGTATAGAATAAATATTCATTCTAGTGTTTCAAAATAAGCCAGACATTCTGAGCTTCCACACAAAGTTTACCAAACTTAATATTAAAATAAATATTGATTGTGGCATGGCCGCATGTGAAGAGAGCCGGACGTGTGGTGGCTGAGCTCCGCTCCTCATTCATCCTGCTATTGATCCTGTGACAGCGGCTTCCCTGATATTTTGCTCCCGGACCTCCTCTTGGTAGTTGTGAGTCGGCTGGGCACCCCATTCTCCTCCTCCACGTCCCCCAGCAAGCATAGGTTGGGCCGGCCCTCGGTGGTTCCCCCAACCACCTTGGACACGAGGCTGGCCCTCACAGCAGTGTCGGCTGGCACTCAGCCACCCCGGGAGGGCATGGGGGATCCCGGTCCGTCTCCAGCGGACTCCTGGCTGCGATCACCTCCTGCAAGGAAGCCCTAACTTGGCTGTCTGAGGTGGAATCCCATATACCTCAAATGGAGGACATGGTCCAAACTGATTCTAGAGAACTTCTGGCCCTCTTGAGGAAGGTAAAAGCTCTACAGGCCCTGCACCGGTTGGCTTCTGTTTTTGTTGTTTTTTCTTTTTATGGTGCACGGGCAGGGTTTTATTTTTGTTTGTTTGTGGTTTGGGGGAATATTTGTAATTGAATGTATTTAACTGCTTTTCTGTTTATCTGGACCTTTCTATGCAATGGCCTGATCAGATTTTGCTGCTCGTGGGAACCCTTATGCTCCATTTCGATTTTTCGGCAGCTGTGGCCAAGGTGTTTCTGTCATCATTGCACCTGTCCCTAAAGATTGTTTTTCCATTCTCTCCTGGAATGTTAGGGGGCTAAATTCCAAGTACAAATGCTCATTCATATTTCAAGATCTTAAATTACATAATCCTCACATAGTCCTGCTACAAGAGACTCATCTTATGGGCAGCAAAATCCTAGCTCTGAAGAGGCCGTGGGTACAGAGGGAGTTCCACGCCACCTACTCCTACTACTCTCGTGGGGTCACTATCCTAAGCAAATCAATCCTGTGTGTGGTTGAAGATGTTAATATAGATCCTAATGGACGGTATGTTGGTTGTGTCATTCTGGAACCAAAATTAATACGTATCTACCATCACCCAGTCAAATGGCCCCTCTTTACCTTTTGCAGGAGAAGCTGGCCCCGCACTGCCCTGCAAAAATGTTATTTATGGGGGGTTTCAGTGCAAATCTCTCACAGTCCTTTGATAGACCAGTTCCCCCAGCGTCCTTTAACTCCGATCTGGCCATCTGGGCACAGGTCGCCAACATGTCGATTTAGCATTTGCTAATCCTTCCCTTCTTGGTGATGTACAAGAGGCTAGCTACCTCCCAGAAGGTTTATCGGACCATAGCCCCTTTAGATTATTATTCCGGTCTAGGTAATCGTGTAATGGTTCTCTTTGGAGACTGCATCCCAAGTGGATCCATCATGCTGTCTCTGCGGAATGCATCCCTCCGGGACTAGGTGATTACTGGGAGCATAATGCTGGGTCAGCTTCTCCTGCCATGGTTTGGGATGCCTTTAAGGCACATAGTAGGGAATTATATATTTCTGTTGTTCCTGCTATCAAGTCGGAAAACTCTGTCCTTATGTCTCAGTTACACGATAAGGTGACAGAAGCCTCCACCAATTACTCATCTACCCCCACTGCAGATAATTACGATTCCCTTGTCCAAAATTACTAGGTTGGATGTCCAGCCCCGCAGAAAGGAATTTTTGCTTTTGGGGATAAAAATAGTAGGTTATTGGCGATGATATCGTAGCATGATAGGCCTCTCACTGTAATTCCAAAACTTTGTACTGCGGGTGGGGGGGTGGTGTCTTCCCAGGAGGATACATTGCACAAATTTGAATTTTCTTATACCTCACTCTATTCCTCCTCGACCAAGTCAGATCCTAACCTTTTGGGCTTGGCCGCCGTGTTGGACCCGTTGACCCTTGGTTGTTTCTCCGACTCTGAGTTTGCTTTGTTGGTCTCGAATATTACTGTGGAGGAGGTTTCCGAGGAAGTAGGCTCCTTCCTAATGGTAAAGCTTGGGGACCCGATGGTATCCCGATGGTTTTTTACAAGACCTACATGGAGTTTTTAGCCCCTATTCTGATGTCCTCATATAAGAATTGCCTACACGTTGGCTCCTTGCCCCTCACTATGTCTGATGCTCATATTGTGTTGATTCACATATCAGGTAAGGACCCCAAACTTTGCGCTTCCTATAGGCCCATTGCGCTTCTTAATAGTGACTTTAAAAAGGCAAATTTGTCTTTATTAAATTTTGTGTCAAAATAAACAGTATATAGCAAGTAAATAACGAGAACAGAGATAAGGAAATGGGTATACAAAAAAAAAGAAAAAAGCAATACAGATATGACTATGATCTATGAGGATGAGGGAAAAGGAGTCCAAATAACATCAGGATGTGGGGATCAATAACATACATAAATGAATCACGGAGATAGGCAAAAACATAGAAGCGGGGGAGGAATCCCCAGACAAGATGTATGCAGCAAATGAAATAACGCTGTACAACCAAGAATATATACCCAAACAGAAAGAAAAAAAAAAAGAAAAAAAAGGAAAAAAGGAGAAGGGAGAGAGAGAAGAGAAAAAAAAGGGGGGGACATCAATAGTAGAGCTGGTGAAGGAAAAGAAGAAAGAGGGTCGGGAGACGTATACGACAATAAGCAAGGAAAAGGTGGACCCCACCGACCGTACCTCAATACAGTCCGTAGCGCCACACCAGTGAACATACTAGGATGGAGAAGAAATCGGGGGGACAGGGCTCGACTCCGTTAAGGCATGACAGGGGAACATAAATCTCTGAGAAATGAGGAGGCGAAATGGAGCCAAACTGACCACAACAGCTTATGTTTGTCATAGGTATCATTGGTGAATGCCAGCATTTCCTCCATACACATGGTATCATTAAACACAGAGACCCACAGCGGAATAGAAGGAGTGGTCGTTTTCCAAAAGAGAGGTATCAATTGGCGGGCCGCAGATAGAAAGAAGCGCAGCAAATTTTTCCTCTGCGCAGCCAGCGAACCGGGTAATATAGAAAGGAGGGCAATTTCCGGCGAAGGGGCCAAGGACTCACCATAGATCTTACCATATACAGCAAAGACCTGTCGCCAGAAAGGTTGTATTAGGTCACAATCCCACCAAATATGGAGCTGTGTACCAACAGCTTTAGTACAGCGCCAGCAGAGATTAGGTGTGGAAGGAAGTATTTTGTGTAAGGTGAGGGGGTCCCTGTACCATCGAGAAAGGAGCTTAAAGTTATTTTCCTGTGAATAACAAGAAAGACGGTTTATGAGTGAAGTGGAATGACGTGGACTAGTCTTCTGCTGATATATCTCTACCTAGGTCTCAAGCCCACGCCTTGGTGTAGGGAGGGAGTTCAAAATGAAGAGCATTGTGTAACACATTATATAGGGAAGCTAGGAAATGTCTTGGCAATTCAGAGAGGGAGCACAGCCGCTCAAACTCAGTGAGTGGATGATGCGTGTAGGAGGAAGCGTATAGGTGTTTGCAAAATGAGGATAGATGTAAAGTGGTCAACCAATCCCTAGGCCCACCCTGAAGGAAGACCCGCTTGAGGGCAAATAAAGTCTCGAGCCGTGGGCCATAAGGCACGCATAAAAGGGACCAATGGTAGAAGAGCCCAACCCTTGAGGAAGAGCAGGGTTATCAAATAGGGGTGATAAGAGAGAAGGATCAGAAGATAAGAGAGCAACGATGCCCCGTTGATACCACAATCGTAGTACAGCCATGGTCAATGGGGATAGGCCGTGAAAACGCCGGTGGTCCCGGCTATAACCCCAAGGCAAAGCCCGGAGGTCAACCGGAGACAAATCATGTTCAATCATACAAGAGGATTTACGGAAGGGTCTGGGAAACCATTCAGGCATCCAGGCTAGCAATGTAGCTCTATAATATAGCTCAAAGTCTGGTAAACCCACTCCTCCTCCAGTTTTCGGGGAAGTATGTACCCTGTATTTTAGCCTTGAGAACCCTTGAAGCCAAATAAATCTAATCGAAAGAGAGCGTAGGGAAAGGAAGAAACTCTTAGGGACAATGATCGGCACATTCTGGAAAACGTATAGTAACTTAGGTAAGGTATCCATTTTGAGGGTGTTGATATGGCCGAACCACGGTAGAGCCGGAGCGCCCCATGAAGCTAGATCCTTTTGGATACGAGAAAGCAAGGGTAAGTAATTAAGGGAATACAGAGCAGAAAGGTCGGCAGGAATCATAATCCCTAAATATATAATAGCCTTTGGTCGCCAAGTTCGCCAATACATGAGCAGGCAGAGATATATTCAAGGCCTCCGTTTTAGAGATATTAAGTTTGAAGTTACTGAAGAGACCAAATCTGCAGGATTCATGAAAAAGACTGGGGAGTGAAATAAGTGGTTGTTGGACGTAAACTAAAAGATCATCTGCGTATAGAGACAGTTTGTGATGTGCAGAGGGAATGTGGATGCCTAGAATTGAGTCATTCGCTCATATGGCTCTTGCGAGATGTTCCATAACTAAAACAAAAAGAAGAGGCGAAAGGGGACAAACTTGTCTAGTCCCATTTGAAATGGGAAAGGGTGAAGAGACCGTACCATTCACCAGGACAGACGCCGAAGGACGGGAATAAAGGGACATAATGTGAGCAAGGCACCGTGAACCCAAACCAATCTGTTCTAAGGTAAGACGTAGAGAAAAGCCAGTCAACGTGATCGAACGCCTTCCCAGCATCAAATGAAAG